AAAAGGTTATTCTAAAACAATTATATCATATAAAAAATATGTTAAACATGGATTAAATACAATAAATCATATAAATACACACAAACAGTTGACACTAGGCTTAATTATCCGAATACATGCCTTTAACGTTGGACTTCATTGTAGGCATGCACTTGTAACAATATTTATGTTATGCAGAGTCATAAACTAATGGATTATCACCCTACTACTTATAAGGTTAGTCCCCTTCACACCTAAGACCTAATTGTCCAATGGCTAGGACCTCTTACGACTCTTACCACATAACTCATTCTCCTTCATTTGAATATAAATAGTTATTAGAGTTTATGATTCCTCCTTACTATCCCCCAAAATGTCAATCCATGCATTAAGATCATCACCACAAATAATTTCTTGTTGAAATTCTCTCAACACCATCATCATACATCTCTACAACCATGATCATCAACTTAATTAATAATAAAAAATATTATAAACATACATCATTTTCATCACAGATCTATTTCAAACAACCAAAGAAGAAAAACAGATCCAACATACAAATTGGCGCTCAGAAGTGGCACACAATGTCAAACCTTTCGCAAAAAGTGGAATTCAACAACATTTTTGGCACTTAGTGCCATTCTTCTCACAAAAGTTCGCTCAATGATGACCTATTATTGCCTAACATTAATTAAGACATTTGCAAAATACGATTCTCAATGACACAAACTTGTAGTCAGTAGCTTGTAGCTAAAATGATTTCATACCTGCACAACAAAGTTGGTGCTCAACACCAATTTATCACCATTCAAAGCTATACCAGACACCAACAAATGAAATTATGTGATTTGGGAAAATGTCAATGCATACATAAGATCATCATCACAAAGAATTTCTCTTTGAAATTCTCTCAACACCATCACCATATATACATATCCACAACAATAATCATGAACTCAAATAATCATAAAAAAATTATAAACATACATCAGTTTCATCACAAATCTATTTCAAATAACTAAAGAAGAAAAGTATGTCCAACATACAAATTGAGACTCAGAAGGGGCACTCAGTGCCAAACCTTTAGCAAAAAGTGGCATTTAGCGACAATTCTGGCACTCAACACCATTATTCTCACAAAAGTTGCGCTCAATAATGACCTACTACCGCCCAACAGCAAGGCATTTGTAAAATATGATTCTCAACGGTACAAACTTGTGCTCAACAGCCTGAAGCTAAAATGCTCCGAGACCTACATAATGAGGCTAGTGTTCAGCACTAGTTTGTCACCATTTAACGCTATACCAGACACCAACAAATGAAATTATGTGATTTGAAGAAATGGGACCTACTCAATTGATCAATTTGGTATCCCTTTCTTAGTACTTTGGTCAAAAACAATTTTCAATATTAGGAAACTTACCAATTAGCTCAATTGCTCATATTCTAATTGCCTCACTCAACATAAAATCAAGCACAAAGAAACAAAAATCATGAACCAATAATTCAATCATGCCAGCCAAATCAATCATACTACCACAATTCAAATTCATAAAAAAGCAAGTAAAGTTCATTCTCAACATAACAATCAACCATCAACATGCATTCATCAATTTGGCAAAAACACTACTACAAAGGAATTAAAGACTAGTTTCCCTTACCTTGACAAAGTTGCTCAACAAACCCAAAGAGCCAAAAGGCCTCCTAACTCACAAATTATTCCTTTTCTTCACCTAGAGACAACATCAAAATGATTCAACTATGCCAACAAAGACATTAATCAATAGAGATTCAAGAAACACAACTTAAGAAACACAACATAAGAACACATGCCAGCAAAAAAAATCTCGTATGCAACTAGATGAAATAGAGGAAAAGAAATTGAAAACTAACTTACACGAATGAAGAAACTAATCGATCCAAATTAAGGAGCTTCTCGCAAGAATCAATCCTATGGTCTCAATTCTTCAGTAAGACGAGTAAAGAGAAAGAAATCTTAGAGAGAAATCAGATAATTCTAGAAAAGTGATTTCTAGAGAGAAAATGCATTTTAAAGTAATAAAATTATTTATATTAAAACATTTTAATATTAAAATAATCGAGTTTTACTATTTTTAAATCCATGTTACTTCTAAAATGTCATTTTTTTAGATCTTTACAAAATATATTAATGTTGATTTTTTTTAAAAGTAAAAATATTATTATAGGAAATATATGTGATTAATAATAATAAAAACAATGATAATAATATTTTAAAATTTTAAACTTATCTTCTATTTCTCAATATTTTTCCACAAAAAATTCTAATAAGTTTATTCCAAATTATATTATAAAATTAATGTTATAAAATTAAAATTTATTTACCCTTAAATTATTTTTTAGTTTTTTTTCACAAAGAAATTAAAATTTAATTTCAGTATTTTCAAGTAATTATTTTTATCTTATTCTAATATTTACTAACTATTTAGAGAAATAATGTTCTAATAAGTCTATGTAAAGATTTTTTCTTTAAAATGTATATTATTTTGGAAAAAATTGGTAAAAACTTCTAAAAAAAATGAATTCGTAAGTTAAAATATAAATTTTTTGTACAAGTTTTTTAAAAAATTATTTTAATTTGTATATCTGTTAATTTTAAGTTATAAAAAATTTATTAGTTGTCAAAAAGTGAATTTTGGGAGCAATTGAGGTGTTTGCAAGGGGTGATTTCTCTTATGGTTCAATGCAACAATGAGTTATTTTGGAGGGAACAACATTACCTTTGGAGCAAAAACTATTGACTTTTGGATTTGGTCTAAGACTTAATGCTCACACTATATATTTCACGAGAGCAAAGCATAAAGGTGTTGAGCCACACAAGAAAACCTTTTACAAAAGGAAATGTGAAACACTAAAGAAAGGGGTTAAACTATTTAGGAAATTCAAGTGTTCATCACCATAACAAAGGATTGAGTTAAAAGAAAACTCACCATGAAACTGTTGTTGTTGATCACTACAAAATGAAGCTAAGCAAGTGGTTTAGTGAAAAATCTTCAACAAGTGATACATACTCTATTGCACAATATCCTTTTAACATAAGAAGTTTTTCTTCTTTTGGAACGTATACTAAGATTAATAGTGCTAATGAGAGATCAAAACATTTGTTTAAGTGTTATTAAGTAAACTTCTCATGGACCAACTTGAAAACAGGAACATATAAATGCATTGAACATAATATTTTGTTGATGTTGTAAGGTATATCATGGAGGTAATCATCTCTGTAATAAGACAATGTTGTCTACTTTCTTCCAGTTCTCTAATCCAAGAGAGGTTGTAGCATGGATTACCATTTTTATCAGTAGAAACTCTTTTAGAAACACTTTGATATGTTTCTTTTGATGTATGTATATGATATCATCTATTTTAATCTATAAACTCAAGAACAGTCTCAATTATCTCGTCATACTCATCTCAAACTTAATCTACATTACCTTAGGTAATTATTCGGAAAGATTAATCAGAACTACACAATATCATGTTACTTACATTAATTCAAACAATAGTAAAATCAAAAGTGTAGTCTTTATATGCCATAGTAATGTTTACTTTTTTTTTCTTCTAAAACCATTCTATGTAAGAAAGAACTTAGACAATAACACTACGCTCAAAAAGTTTGCTTTATGCATTACAAATCTTTATTTAATTTAAAAACAAGATGCAACCCTTTCAAACCTAGATTGGATCTCAAGTGTTTTTCTAATTACTTTTCTTTTTCATGAAATATTAGAGTAAAGGTTCTATTGACCCGTTCTCTATTAAAATTAAGGCTTAATACCCCTGATGGTTCCTATTTTCGTCAGGTGTGTTCGATTTGATCCCAATTTTTTTTTGTTCAATGTTGTCTTAAAGAATGTAATTTTTGTTCAATTTAGTCTTTTTTGCAAACGGTGTTTAAATTGTTAACGACAGAGAGTCCATGTGTGCACAAGACTAATGAGATGACATTTAACTACTGCCACGTCAAAAGTAGAGTCTTCGTGACAACCCCTTTACCACATCAAAATTAGGGTTTTGCATTTGGGCGAAACCTTCCTGCGTCTGCGCTGCGAGAAGAAGGAAAACGTTGCTCGTGATTTTGCTTCAATGAAGGATCATTTCGCAAATTGTGCAGCTCATGGTAGCATGAAGAAGACGAACCTAGTTGTGTAAGAAAGCACTCATGGTGGCCGGTGGAGGCAAGCAGCAACGCGATTCTAGGTTTCTTTGATTTGGGATTTTTCTTGATTTCATTGTGGTTCTTTGCAGGTTGGAGAAGATGGTGGCCCTGAAGCTTTGCGCGACGGCGACAAGGATTGTCGCGCTGACGATGAAGCTCTCGATTTGGATGATTCATGGATGATGCGCGAGAATGAAGATTCAAATGGAGTTCGAGATTAGGGTAGCTTGCGGCATTATTGACGGTGAAGACTTAGCGATTTGGGTGGTGTGATTGAACTTTCTCTGTTTTTGGGTGCTTGTGTTTGATTTGCAGGTACGAGATTGATAGGACTCGTAATAAGGATCATAAGGTGGGAAGTGCACATGGGCCTGTTACTTAACAAGGAACACTTAGGCCCAAAATATGGAAGGTTTATGTTAGAAGAAAGAAAATGGGTTTAGAAAAGGAAAGAGAAGTTAGTTAGGATGGGGAATGACGTGTCTAGAATCGAGGGAAGGGAGAATTCTGTTATAGGAGAGAGAAGGGAGAGTGTGGAGAAGGAGGGGAGGTTGTGAGTTGGTCAGGAGGAGAATAATCCTCTGGAGGAGTCTAGGACTCTGGGTTTTTCCTTGTGGCTGTAGAGCTTTCAGCTCAATCATCTTTTTACTGCATAACACTCTAAATAATACAACTTTGATATTCAGTAATTGTTTGGTTTCTATCATACACACTAACAAGTCATATTCCTTCACCACCCTTAAACTATGGAGAACACCCTTCCTCCTCGCAGAACCAAAATCTGATGACTTAGAAGTCTGAAGGGCATTCAAGGATCCCACACAAGAGTTGATATAAATTCAGTCGGTATCCAGATGAATTTTGCTAATGCGATTTCATATGGAAGGCAAAACAATAAAATCTGAAACCAATTCATAGAAAGCACCTAAATAAATCAATATTTCTAGACATATCCAACCCCAGCTTAAGTCAATCCGCCCAAATGTTCTAAGAAACAGCTCATGACTGCGATTTCAGCCGCAACTTCTAGGTTTCAGAGTCTTAATTACCATAACTTGATCCCCATTTTGGACATATCGGCACAGACCCTCTAACTTCAAGAAATGCCACAAAAACACAAACGCAATTTAAAGCCTTGAACGGCACAAACCCTCTAACTAGGCCAAGCATAAAAAAAATGCAGAAATGAAAGGGCATAGTCAAAAACATTCACACTAACTTGCGAACCCCCAGGTTGAGTATTCGGGGCAGAGGAAGGAGGTCTAAGAGACGATTGCACGGGCCTCTGTTGATGAGCAGCGATTCCACTAGGCCTCATTTGAGGCCCTAACATCCCCATTCCTTGCACGGGCGTTCTCACCTAAACGTAGTCACATTCACATACAAAAATTTGCACTCGTCAAAAAGCACGAAAATGTTTAGTAACATTCATATCCAAAATAACGTACAGATGCAGAAAATTACTTGAGAGGTGCTTGAATTGGAGGTAGGTTCGGCCACACTGACTCCAGTTCGGGCAAACCCACCAAAGTGTTGACCGAAGGACGATGAAAACGGAGGAGAGGGGCTCTGGTGGTGCGCGGGCACGCCGATTGCCATACCACCCCTCGGCGCAGGGGCGCCGCCAGGAGCGGAGGGAGGCGAAGGAGCGGAAGAGAAGTGCGGGAACTGAGGCTGCGACGGCGGCAAAGTGCGGTTGAAGGACTGCGTGGGGCGAGGTTGGGCAGGCGTAGGAGTGGGGGGTTTGGGGTTCGGGGCTTGAATTGGGCTTGGGTTTGGGCTTGAGCTAGGATTAGGGTTTGGGGAAGACTGTGTTGGGGCGGAGACAGGAGGAGTTGATGATGTGGAAGATGGAAGTATAGGAGGAGATGACTTTGGTGGTTGAGATTGTGAGGGTTCAGCGGCACTCCTGGGGGTGGTGCCGGTTGCCGGAGCTTGAGAATCCATTGAGAATTGAGAATGCAATTGAAATTTTGAAACAGAGGATCACTGCCTGAACGTGCTGTGATAATATGATCTTGATCGTCTTTGTTAATTTCTCTAGCAAGCTGGTTCCTTATAATTTGTTTCAGCTTATATATAGAGGGAAAACGTGAAAAGAGAGTGATGTTCTGAAAGTAAGATAAAAGAGAGAACATAGAAAACATTTATATATATATATATATATATATATATATAT